GATATTTTAGAAATATGGCGAAAATATTTATCACTTATATTATATTTATTACGTATTAAAATAAATTTAAGTTGCAGAATATTATGTTATTGAGATCCTGATTTTATTTCTTTACGATTTCTGTAAGTACTTTAATAACACAAATTTGCCAAATTCCTGCAAACAGTGTTACCGAAATTTTACTTAATATGTTTTACGTAGAATTGATACTACTACAAGGGGCGGCTGATAAGTCTACGGTCCGAAGTACAGTCAGCGTCAGACATAAAGGAGCGGTTAAGCTGTTCAAATATTATGAAACAGTTAAAATGATCATTAATATTCATCTATACATTACCATACTATACAATTATTGATAACATCAATATTGTTCAAATATATCAGAACACGTTCAACATCAAACATATGAGATCATTTAAACTGTTCAAAATTATTGTAGCAAACAGAACGTCAATAGTATCCAAGTTTTCCCGAGAAATATTTGCACGGCCGGTGTATAGAGCATCACTAGTGCTGTCATCCGCACAGCACTAGTGATGTATAATGTTACCGGTTTTGTAACATATCATTGATATGCAGAAGAAACAGCGTTAGTGATAGCATACAGTCTTGTGAAATACCAGCATAAATTGGCTTGTAATCGGAGCATGCTACAATCTGAAAGAAAGCTGGTGATCAAATTAACCAATTTCTCGGGAAGCCCATAGGAAGGGAGTTTTGAAAGAAACGCTTTATGCCAAACCCGATCGAAGGCTTTCGCAATGTCCAAACTAACGGCCAATGTCTCCCCCTTGGACTCTACTGTCTCCAAGTCAAGAATGAGTCAGGTAGACCAGAAGATCACTAGCTGATCGACCCCGATAAAAACCCTATTAGTGGTTACTAATCAGCTGGTGATCCTCAAGGTACCGCATGAGCTGGCAGTTTTTAAGGGATTCCATTATTTTGGAGAAGAAGGAGGTAATTTGTAGTTTTTAGTTTTTTTTTTAATTTCACTTCCTCACCTCTTAACTTTTCAATTTGAAAAAGCACATGAGGATAAAGATTGCTCAGATTCGCTCTACCTTTAAGAATGAAAATTATTTTATTTCTATCTATAATAAGAGAAAATCAACAGTGAATTTCTGCAACATCAGAGGACTTCATTTGAACTTTAACGTTTTTGACTACCATCTGGAGACGGCGAAGCCGGTCTTGCTCTTTATAACTGAGACGCAGGTGTCCTCTCTGGCTGATACTTTGTATCTCTCCTACCTGGGTTACAAATAGGAATACCTCTCTGTGCCCTTGGCTTGTTCTCGACGAATCGGCAGTCTTAAAGGTACGGACCTTTGGCTGCGTGTCGACAGCGACGACCATCCTCGCATCTGCGGGTGTCTCTATAGGTCCCGTAGCGGTAATGCCGACATAGACCGAATCATCGACCACGTCCAAATGGCTGCAGACTCCGTGCTACAACAGGTCCATCAACAGAGATCGTGATCCTCGGTGATTTTAACGCCCACATCGCTGAATGGATTGATTTCCGTTTAACCAATCATGCTACGCGGATTCCAGATATGGAGGATCATGCACCTTCCATGCGGGGCCTACAGCTGACCTCTCATCCAGACAGATATCAGGTCTCCGTCGACGCCCCTCTTGACTCTTCGAACCATGGTCTGATCTGGAGTTTAGTGCCCTTCATGCTCCCATCGCGTTTACAACGTTGTTGCTGGTTCTGTCGCTGATGTGGTACTTCAGGGAAGGGAAACATCATCTGTGGTGCCCACCGGAGGCAAATCCCAGCCACGGTTTGGTCGCTCCTGTAAAATTGTATCGTCCTATAAGATGGAGTGCTACCGGATCTGGGCTGACACATCGACGTATCGAGATGTAAGCACCAAGCTCTCTTAAAAAGAATCATAATTCCGCCTCCAGCTCCTTCAAAAGAGTCATTGTCATGGCAAAGGTACATCGGCAGAATTGGAGAGAAACTAGTTCGCCTTCCTTCGGGAACTTGTGCATTCTGGTCTCCAAGGGAACTTCTGTCAGCCATCTTTTCCATCTCTGCACTGGAAGGACGACTTGCTAGCCCATGCCGCAAAGGAGAAAGCCCATCTTTTAAGCTCTCTTTTTTCGCTGTATGACATAAATTAGAGTACCTACGTAACATGTTTTCATTTGAATTGGAATATCATTTAATACGAGTATTAGGTCCTTACATATGAAATTGACATTTTGTACGGGAGGAATATAAAGTCAATTTTTTTTGTAAAATATATTTAATTAATCAAAGTAAGCACAGCAGTAAGTAGTTCATTAATCCCTTTACTAAAGAAACCATGGGGGCGAGAATCAATAAACTCTTTGAAGGCGGTTTGGACTTTCGCATCGGAGTTGAATTTTTTCCTTGTAAGAAGTTGTCCAAATTCCGAAAAAAATGGTAATCTGTTGGAGCAAGGTCCGAGGAGTACGGTGGATGTCGCAGACATTCCAATTGTAGCTCATCTAACTAAGTGGTTGTTTGTTGTGCAGTATGTGGTCTTGCGTTGTCGTGAAGCAGCAGTGGCCTAGAGCGATTGACCAATCTCGGTTGTTTAGCAGCTAGTTCTTCCTTCATGGTTTACAGTTGCTGACAATAGATATCTGCCGTAATCGTTTGGCCAGATTTTAGAAAGCTGTAGTGACCGACACCAGCGCTAGTCCACCAAACACTTACAAGTAACTTTTTCTGAGTTAATTTTCGATTAGGGCAGTATTTAGCTGGGTTTCCAGGGTTCAGCCATTGCGACGACCGCTTCCGATTATCGTACAGTATCCACTTTTCATCGCAAGTAATGATTCGATTTAAAGTCCCTTCATTATTGTGTCGGTTGAGCAAAGTAACACAGCAGTCGACGCGTGTTTGCAAGTTCGATTCACTCAATTCAAGAGGTACCCATCTTCAAGTTTTTTTACTTTACCGATTTGCTTCAAGTGGATTAATACAGTTTTATTACTTACCCAGAAGCCTGCAGCTATCTCTGAAGTGCTTTGTGATGGATTCGCTTCCACAATAGCCTTTAATTCTTCATTTTCCACTTTGGTCTTCGGCCGTCCACGGGGTTGGTTGCCATGCCAAATTTTCAGAACGAAAACGTTGAAACCAAAAACGTACCGTGCTTTCTTTTGCGACACTAGCGCCGTACACATCATTAATCCTTCGAGCTGTTTCTGCAGCATTGGTGCCACGGTAGGACTCGTACTCGTAAAAATACCGATATTTTATGTTTTCCATTGTGCGGTAATAAGCGACGCCAAAGAAAAAAATAATGAAGAAAAAACAAATGAATGACTGTTTTCAAAACTCAAATGTACCAGCTAAATAAATTTATAAATTTGAACTTGGAATATTTAACCAAAGAGGAGATATCTCAGATCAAAGTGGCCAGTACGACAAAACGCTAATTTCATATATGTAAGGACCTAATACTTATATTTTATAACATCAGCTGTAGATAAGTTAACAAAGAAGTGTGCTAGTGTTAACAATTTATCTAACATAACCTATTTACTCGTGTTTGTTGTGATAATAATATGCAAATTATATTGTAACATCTTTTGTTGTTGTTTTCCTGATACTTAACCCAATTCGAAATAGAGCAAATGTAGACCAGTAGCAAATGTATTCTGCGCCGATGGTAAACTATTAACGAGATAGATAATGTTGGCGATGTAAGCCCTCCGTATTTCATTACTTGTATCCAACCCATCACCGTATTTAGTTATTTGAGTACTTCTGGAGGCGACAATATCAATTTATAGAAGTAATTCTTGACCATAGATATGAATGGTAGTTTTACAACTTAAATTTATACGTGTTAGAGCCATGCTGCAGCTATATTAGTAGTATAGTTGTAGCACGAATGGGTCGGCTCGACCGGGGAAGGACCACGCTCTCACAGAATACCACCGTAAAATAACAGCTTAATGCTGCTGTGTTTCGTATGGTGAGTATAGAGGACCGGAGACCCTTTTTACTGGAAAAGAGGCATTCCATCTTAGTCCTCACGGGTGACAACGCATCTGCATTTTGAGTTTTTATTGAGGATAGATGTAAATGTCTATGGGTCACAGTAACCACTTACCATCAGGTGGACTGTGTGCTCGTTTGTCACCCAATCCTATAAAAAAAACTATTTCGTATATTTTGACAGCTGTCAGATGTATATATATTTTAGTATGGAACTTACTTGAACCAACCAACCAACGGTTTGGACTGAACGTCATAACACAATATATTATTTCATACAACTTTGGGCCTTCGTTTTAAAACTTTAAGGGTAAAATTTTTAAAGTATTAAAAGAAAACACATTTTGTTATCTTTATTCAAAAATATTTGTACCAATTTTAAAATTACAGAACACAATTAATTTTTTTTTTCCATACAAATTTGAACACCATCTGGCACCGCCGTAAATGGTTGTTTAGAAAAATCGCAATATCCGTAGTCGTATAGTCATAGTCACGTAGAGTACTTTCAGTAAATAAAATAAATGAGTACGGATTTATTTTATTTACTGAGAAAGATTAAGTGACTAAAACACGCGAATAATAAATAATAATAATAATACAACCAAACCAGAACCATCAATTTAAGTATTATGTGGTTTTACACATGTTACAAATGTTAGCTTCGGCTAGGATTGAACCCAGTTCTACTCGTAGCTAGGAACTGATCACTAGACAAAGCGGCCGTCTACAAAAAAGGATAATGTTATCATTTCAACTATATTGTTTATTTTTATGTTGTAACACGATATTACTTAACTAGTTCCTATAATTTTTGTTTACTTCCAGTGATTCCATTAAAAAGTTCATCCAGATCTAACGATTATTGAAGTCATTTTTTATTTTTCTTAAAATAATTCAATTATCGGCAATTGTGTAGAATCCCAGCAAAATGAAATTTACTTTTCCTTTAATATTAATAGAAACAAAACAATATTTATATGATATTATGTATAATTTTACTTACCATAAAAATGTTTTCGAGAAAATATTAGCTTTATCATGAGGATTTTTGTCCTTCAGAACGACTTTTGAATCCATGATTGCACTTTGAAATTTAAACTTATTACAAGAATTACTTATTAACACCAAACGTAGATTAACCGAAGTGTTTTTAACCACGAAGAATTAAAATCTTGACTGATTATTTACACTATATTTAGCGGAGTAGAAGAGTATACATTCTACATTAATTTATTTGCAGCAAGCCTTAAGTGCCTTTTTTATAAAAATTGTATAAAAAAAACTGACAACTTGATTCCCCAACTTCACACGGCTGCCGTAAAAAATATCTTATAAAAGTTCACTGTTTATAGCACAGTAATGTCACGATAATTTGCATCTCATTTATAACAACATAATAAACTATTAAGTACTAAGAAATTTATTCAGTAAAAATAATTTATAATCACAGACTTTTATTACATTACACTAAATCGGTCCCACGCGAATTACTCCAGTGTGAGTATGCCTAATGCCGGTAACTAACACGGACTGGCACTGGCGCGGCGAGCAACTAGCACCCAACCAGACCGAAAGGCACCGGCCGCAGATCACAACACAGAACAAGCGATACTTGCATAGCACCGGCCACCGGCACCTCAAGCTACAATTGGGCGTTACAACTTTCAACATATAATATAACTCATTAGAAATTTTAAATGATATAGCACATTTTAAAAGTCCTGACAAAACTGCTATAATTTGAATTAAAATCGTGACTTTTAAGTATAATATGCGAAATCTATGGTTGGTGGTTTTGTTATATAATTACAATAGCACCATCTAGTATTGTATCTTTCTAATACTTCTATAGTACACGCCACTTATTAGAGATGGCGTTTAATAATTCAATCATACTATTAAGATGTATTCTTCTATCCCTCCTTTAAGTAATAATAATTAATTTTGCGTAAAAATAAATATTTCATTTGATTGTTCCTCTAAATTCAAGAGCTAGGTCTTGTGTAAGGTGTAAACATTTGTTGCAAGATATTAAATTTATAACATGATATTATTTTATTTATCAGACACAACATTGAATAAAACTATTTTTTACGGATTTTATCGCGTTTAATTTACTATTTTAATTCCCAGCGTCTTTACAGCAACCCATGGTCATGTGATGACTGAGATGTTTGACGTCCCGATGTCACAGTTAGTCCGGCTACCTTAATTTTTTTTAATATTAATTTTTGGTACGATTTACACAGAATGAACTTACAGTATCTTGAAGTCTTGCAATGGTATGCTTGGGTTTGGATTTAGTTTTGTTAATTATAGGATCCAAAGCAGATGGCAGCACCCATCCATCTTCTCTATTGAAATTAGGATGTTTTTTAATTTCAATAGCCTCGCGTATCATCCTTGGTAGGAATCGGTGTTCTTTTGCGAGGATTTGTGGTCTATCAAATCTGATGTAATGGCGGGGACGATCTTGAACATGTTCACAGACTGCAGACTTCGCAGAGCGTCGGTGCTTCACGTCAGCTATATGTTCTTTCACGTAGGTTTTAATGGATCTTTTTGTTTGTCCTATGTAAGAGAGATCACATTCGCAATCAAGCTTGTACACTCCTGCATCTTGTAGAGAGATATTACACTTGACGGATGGTAAAAATTGACTAATCTTCTTCGGCGGCTTGAATTATGTTTTAATAGAAGCTCGCTTCAAAATGTAGCCAACCTTGTCTGTGACTCCTCTGACATAGGGTAATACAGCAGGCACATGCTCGACAGTGGTCGGCTTCACTCGGTCACTGTGACGTAACGCGGGACCCGGAGCTTGTGGTCTCGCAACACTTGCCCGAAGTGCTGAAGCTCGGCGGCCAGATGTTTTCTGTCACAGATCCCTTGTGCTCTCTGAAACAAAGATTTTCCAACGGTAGCTAACTGTGATGGATGATGGTGCGATTCACCATTTAAATATTCTACCGATATTTAAATGGTGAATAATATACACAGTGTGACCAGTAGTGTTATCAGGATTTTGGATGACTAAAACATCTAGGAAGGCTAAAGAATTGTTTGCCTCTAACTCCATTGTGAATTTTATTTTAGAGTTTATGGAATTAAGGTGGTCAAAAATGCAGTTACTTTGTCAGATGGTAAAGTTGTGAAAGTGTCGTCTACGTACCGCTTCTAGAATCTTCGATTTACAGGAGCAGTAAGAAGGGCTTTCTCCTCAAATTCCTCCATGAATATGTCGGCGGCTATGGGAGATATAGGTGAGCCCATCGCCACACCGTCTATTTGCTTATAGAACACCTCCTTCCACAATAGATAGCCAGATGTGAGGCAGTGTTTGAATAATACTGCATATTCTGTAGGCATGTTGTATTCTTCTAGCTTCCTGGTTACAATTGAGATGCAGTCTTCAATTGGTAAGCATGTAACTATTTAGTAGTACTAGTCATAGTCACTATTGACTGAACATCAAAACTGACCATAGTTTCATTGTCAGCGAGATGTAGGTCTTTTATCTCACTAACAAAATGGTACGAATCCTTTGTGTGTGCTCTAGTTTGTCCTCTCAGTGTTGACAGAATTTTTGCCAAGTTGTGAGCCAACTTATAAGTTGGTGAATCGATTTGGCTCACTATGGGAAGTAGAAACTTCGGGAATTAAATAGTCAATTAAACGCGATAAAATCCGTAAAAAATGATTTTATTCAATCTGTAGTGTTCGCGTAAATATAAGAAATAATTATATAAGACGACAGTTTATACATAATGTTTATTTTTTAATAGGATTGGTATATTGTTTTAACTGTTGTTTCATTTTTGTTATAACAGTGTCTGATTTAGACAACTTTATTAAAATAACTGTCGGGCATGCGTTGCATGCATTTTTTTTGTCCGAAACATTCACAGACGCTTGCATAACAAATCCCTAAAGTTTAATCGTAATCGGATGATGGCAAAAGAATGAACGGAATACAGGATAAACGTAGAAATGTTCATCGAAGAATTTTCCGGTGGATGTTCGGTTGTCACCTTCAACGACCCGACCTGGTAATGCCACGCTTTCGAGGTAACCATCACTTCAAATGCCCGTTTATTAATATATTTTAGAAGCCCCGCTATAATTACATGCCAACCATGTGGCCTTGCCGTTTTTAAGGTGCGGAGAGCCATTATAATCTCGCTCATACTGACGTCCGGGATTCTATCGGCATAGTGTCAGGTAAGACTAACTCTTGGATCGTTTCACTCAAACGTGCGTGTGGCCCCAATGACAATATATATAGCTGTCCGTAGAAAATGAAAAAAAAATGAAAATGAAAAATTGTTTATTTCTTTAAAAAGATCATACATTATATAGGTATGGGAGTAAGTGGAACATCCTTTTAAGTAAATATATACTTGTGGCAGGATGCCCCGCTCTTCTATAGCAAGAATTAAATAAACACAAAATAGATTAATTAAAGAAATACAAGAAACTAAGCTTAAATTTATATAATGAGGGTTAATAAACATAAGTGTGCGAGTTTTATGTGAGTGTGAGTTGATGGGTGCGTGCGCTCACTCGCGCGATTCTGTGTGAGTGTGTCTGTCTCTCTCTGTGTGTGTGTGTGTGTGTGTGTGTGTGTGTGTGTGTGTGTGTGTGTGTGTGTGTGTGTGTGCGTGTGTATGTGTGCGTGTGTGTGTGTGTGTGTGTGTATGTGTGTTTGCGTGTGTATATGTACACATGTGTGTGTTTGTCGGCGTTTGTAAAATTTATTTAATAACTTTTAGTAATTCCTCGACTTCATCATACTTAAGTTTCAGTAGCCATTCTGTAACTGTCTTTTTGAACTCATTAGAGTTCAGTGAATAAATGTTTAGTTTTTTGTTGACTATAGACATGGGCAATGTGTATCACTTAAAAGAAAAGATTGATATGTATCTTTTGATCACTAGGATATGTATCACTCTTTTATATCTTTATATCCTTATGTATCAGTAGATCATGCTCGCGTTCACGACACGCATCGCATTACATTTCGTTGCTCACTCAGCGTGGCTCGCTTCGCTCAACTCAATCCTATCAGTAAGAGTGATAGATACCTATCGACCTATATATAAGACCTATAGAGTTGTTTGCATTTTGCTTGGTCGTAACATTGTGCATCTTTCTGATATATTTGGTTGCTGTTTCTTTCTAGGTATTTTTGGATCATAACAAATAGTGTTATGATCAAAAAATTAAAGTTTTTTTATTTCTCAGACGTGCCGGTTTCCTCACGATGTTTTCCTTCATCGCCGAACACGTGGTAAATCAGCACTTAAAATTGCAATCAACAATTTCATTGGTGCCGGCGGGGATCGAACCCGGGTTGCTCGCGAACTGTGAAACTTACAGCGATCGCTATTATTGTTATGATTGATAAATATTAATAGGCACTTACTCGAAAAATTTACTTACAATTTTAGTTTAAAATAATAATTAAATAAATGATTAACGTAAATAACATAGGTAGGGTATTTTTAATAATTTTACACTAATATACCTACGGATTTGTTCGGAACCCTGGGTGCGCGAGTCCGACTCGCACTTGGCCGTTTTTTTATGGATATAAACGACTACTATTTCGGTTATAAAACTTTCTTAAAAACGATGGTTTTATTACCGAAATTAGTTTGCATTGTTTACTAAAAAATGCATAGGCAAAGTACACATAGGTACGGTTTAAACCAGTATAATACTTAAATGTTAACGTACCGCTTAATGACTTTAAGCACTATGCGCCAGTCATAGAGTTATCAATTTACCTTTTTGTGCCAACTTATTACAGTTTATAATGGTCAAACAACTCACTCTCTCCGTCTTGCCAAAGCGCGACAGAACATTCTAAATAGTGAGCTGCGAAAGAAACGTCTGTACTATGGACTTCGAAATCTTCCTAGAATGCCCAGCCACGCCGGCCGAGGTATAATAGAAAGCAGTGTGCGCAATGTGCGACACAGATGTTAGATATAAAAAGTTAAAAGATGCCTTGAGTGAATAAGTTGTAAAGATATACTGATACAGTGATACATTCGGATGCGGATGGATATAAA